GGCAGGAGGGGCCAGGCAGGGGTGCGGAGGATGGGCCGAGACCCATCCCTGTGTCTACTGCAGCCTCACAGCCCACAGTTCTTTCAAGGTGCACAAATTCATGCACTGGGCCCCTAGTAAAATTATAGAGAGGGGATGGAGAGGGAGGGAGAGAGACCCTGGAGAAAAGAGACAGTGTCCCACAGTCATCAAGTAAGGTAGGAATCAACTATGTTGTTGGAGTAAGAGCAAGAGGGTGAGAGAATATCAAGTGCATATTATCTGCAACAAAGCAAAAATAATTTATAAGCTTCTCATTGAGACTGCTAGCTAGAAAGGAAACTTGAAGGTGCTCTATGTATTGTTTCATTTTACTGAGTACAGTGTTTACAAGGTTTACCCAAGCCTTGGTCCTTTTAACTCTATTCTTATAGAAGCTTAAGAATTACTTGAGGACTTTCAACTCTCCAGCAAGCACAAATGTAAACAAAGCTATGCTCCAGTCAGAGCGGAACAGTTCCATCCCCCACTAAGGGATGGCTGCTGAATGGCACAAGAGGCAACTAACTCCTTCCACCAGCCTGTCTGGACATCCTGCCTTCTGGCTGCCATGTTAAGCTTAGTTTTGACATGTGTTCAGTTACTGCCACATCATTCCCAGAGTGTTGAAAGTGATCACAACAAGAGATGAAGATCATGAAGAAAACAAAAGCAGCAATCATTTTAGACAAAATTGAAAGTGGCGCTATGTATACAGGAATGTAGGATCAATCATTTTATTCCAATAAGGACTACAAATTAAAAATACTGCCCCTGCCTGGCCGGTGTTGCTCAGTGGTTGAGAGTCAACCTATGAACCAGGAGGTCACAGTTCGATTCCCAGTGCAACCGGGTTGCAGGCTCGTTCCCCAGTAGGGGACGTGCAGGAGGCAGCCAATCAGTGATTCTCTCTTATCTTTTATATTTCTTTCCCCTCCCTTCCGCTCTAAAATCAATAAAAATATTTTTTTTAAAAATGCTGCCCCTGAGTTATAGGCAAAGAAAAGTAATTGACAAAATGGAACAAGAGTTGAATCTCAAAATGATCAATACTGAAATGCCTCTCCACATAATGTTAACTAATGAAAAGGCAAAGCATTTGAGAATTTAAAAGTCACATGAGGTCAAAGCAGTGATAATAACATTTTTGTTACAGCCCTTGGATGGCACTACAGCAGTGGTTCTCAACATTCTGGCCCTTAAAATACAGTTCCTCATGTTGTGACCCTAGCCCTTGGATGGCACTACAGCAGTGGTTCTCAACCTTCTGGCCCTTTAAATACAGTTCCTCATGTTGTGACCCAACCATAA